TCTGTCGATCGCGAAGTTCTCTGGAGATGCTTGGCTGTAAAGGGAATTCCAAGAAAATATATTGCACTGATTAAGGCACTCTACTCGTACTCATACAGCCAGGTGAGGGCTTACGGCGAGCTGTCATCTGAACTGATGACGACCAGTGGTGTCCGTCAAGGATGCCCATTATCTAGATATTATAGAGAAGATTTGTAGCTCAGGTGGATGATTTTGATGTGGTTTTGTTCTCTGAGCTGGAGAACAAAACCACATCAAACCCATTATCTCCTTTTCTATTCAACTTCATCATAGATGTGTTAATGGACTTAACCCTAGGTGACTTCAGTGACTCAGGAATTGACTTGCTACCGGGGAATAATCTCGTTGACTTGGGATATGCAGACGATATAGTCCTTCTAGGCGAAGACGCTGACGAAATGCAGAGTCTTCTAAACACCTTGAGCCGCAATCTACGAATGTTTGGCATGCGATTCGCTCCCCCCGTGAAATGCAAGATGATGTTACAGGACTGGACTACATCGACGCCTAGTTTAAAAATAGGAAGTGAAGTGGTAGAGCACGTTGACCGCTTCACTTATTTGGCAAGTACCATCACCCAGTGCCAACGGGTTGATCTCTGACGAAATCTCAGCACGAATAAAGGGGGCTCGTTTCGCATTTGCCAGTTTACGCCGACTCTGGCGTAGACGAGATGTTCGACTATCGACCAAAGGGCGGGTGTACTGCTCATCAGTCCGCTCCGTCCTCCTTTATGGCTGTGAGACCTGGCCACTGAGAGTGGAAGACATGAAAAGCCTGGCTGTCTTTGATCATAGGTGCCTGCGCTCTATTTCCCGTGTATTGTGGCATAATAAGGTGAGCAACATGGAGGTTAGGCGTCGAGTTCTAGGTAAACAGGGGAAATCAATCGACGAAGTCGTGAAGCTACAAAGACTGAGATGGTTAGGACATGTGTTACGTATGCCAAGCCATCGCCTCCCTCGACGAGCAATGTTAGCGGATATAGGGTCAGGCTGGAAAAAAGCTAGCGGCGGTCAAACAAAAACTTGGCCTCACCAGTCAATGAAATCCACAACAGTTGGTCTAAGCCACGTAGAAAGGTGTAGACTTCCAGGCTGGGGTCCTCGGGACGATAAAAACCAATGGTTGGAAACAATTGGTGACATGGCTCAAAATCGTTCTCAGTGGCGCAGATGCATTCACTCCCTGTGACTTATGATCTTCAATGAAACTGTTTTGTATTTCTTTATTACTCCTTTGTCTCACACCTCTGCTCACTGTTTCTATTATGCTTTTCTTGTACTTTCTTCTCTTGCTTCGCGTGCTACACGGAATGTGGCGACTTGAACTTCCGCACATTTGTGCAAAGTTCTATGTCGAAAACATACAGACAGACAGACCTCTCCTACCCACCTACGAACCTGGGAAGCATCGTTTCAACTATAGGCGGACGGAACTGATGAGGATATCAAAGTGAGAAACATGGGGAAAGCAAGGCAAGCTTTTATTACTCTCATGTCCGTGTGGAGATCAACAGCACTCAGCACTCTGCATGAAAAATAACATCCGGATTTTCAACTCGAATGTGAAGTCAGTGCTACTTACTGTACGGATCAGAGACTTCGCACGTTATGAGGAACACCTAAAACAAACTACAGACATTCATCGACTGCTGTTTTCGCTCAATACCACTCAAGACCAGATGGCTGGTCAGAAAAGATCAGCAATAGTGAGGGATCTCTGGCAATGAGCGAATCAACCCAGTAGGAACCAAATGGGCGACGAACATACAAGAATAAATAGAGGTGGATTGGCTTGGGCATACTCTGAGAAAACAATCCATCAAGTGAGTGACATCACACGCCAGACCGTCGCTCGAGTGGTACCCGAATATGAGGTGGCGAATTGGTCGTCAGTACGAGGGTGGAGTGACATGTAGGAGGTTATGTGAAGAGTGGATAAAAGCATACGGGGAGACGTGGGCCTAGGTGAAAACGTTGGCGGAGAACCGAATGAATGGAGACGAGTAGCTGAAGCCCTATGTTCCTCTAGGTAGTTTGAATCAGATGATGAGAATCTGTGGAATAGATTGGTGATGTCACTTTATACTGCGAATTCGGTCTTTCTTTCTGTATTGAAACTTATCAAAGGAAGCAAATGTATGAAATTCCATATTAATGTGTTTATTAGATGTATCACAGCATGACATATCAAACACAACTTATTATTCCTAATCTTATCGGGTGTAACTAAAAAACTTCAAAACTTGGTTTTGATCCCCCTGTTTCTCCCCTCTCACTTGTCGTATAGTTATTAGACTTCTCCAAATTTCTCGGATAGATTCCATATTAGTTTGATTATTAAATGTATCACACAGTGAATCAGTATTGTATTATAGTATTACAATACTGATTCACTGTGTGATACATTTAATAATCAAACTAATATGGAATTACTTAATACCACAGTGCCCAAGTTTTACACATATATTCTCGGATAGATGTTGAATCACTCCTATACACCTACACTCAGTTGATTCGATAAATAAAGCCTCTATTATCAGTTAGTCTGCTCACGCTGTTCTATCACATAGTAAGACTATCATCTTGTCCAATCTCATTGTGTGTAGCTACATGAATTGCTACAGCTGAGCTATTTTCTATGTGTTGTTAGGGTCAACTAATCTAGATTTTACTTGGTTTTGTACTCCGATAATTTAACTGACTCCATCCTACTACTTTGACCTGACAATTATTGCAGGCGGGGGGGGGGTATTAGATAAACTAAATTTTTTGTTTAATTGGCTAGACAGGATAATCCCTCAACCAACAAAGCTTGTTTCTAACTGAGTTTGTGGGTAGTTTGAATGCCAGCCACCTTTATTACTGCTTGCCTTGTTAAGAATTCTGTGTAGGGTTTTCGAGGTTCCTTCTTTGTATGTTAGTGGTATTTTAAATCCCCTATTGTTGGTGTCATGCCCTCAACCAAAACAAGTCGACTTAAACAGTGAACGTGATGTGATGTGATGTATTTGCCCCACTTGTACATTTCGAACAACAATTTGATCTCTCACACATTTACTTGTCAAGTCAATTTGTATATTAAAAAATAATAAAGGCCAATTAAAGTACACAAAGTGACGAAAACAACTTAAGAATAATTAACACAACATTTGATTATCCAATCAGATAATCGGAATTACCGAGATGGTAGTAGGTTAAGAGTAATAAGGAATTGTTTCTGTACACACAGGCAGAGGGAAAGCTTACATCTACGAATAGCTATCGCCTATGTGTATTTTAAAACCGTCATGAGCACCTTACTGAAATACACTGAGGCGATAGTTATTCGTAAACGTAAGCCCTCCCTCTGCCTGTGTGTGCAGAAACAATTCGTTATTACCCTTAACCTACTACTATCTTGGTTATTCTAATTATCTGATTGGATAGTCAAATGTTGTGTTAATTATTCTTAAATTGTTTTCGTCACTTTGTGTCTGTCTCTCTATCTGGATTCAACATAGAACTTCTTGGCACCGAAGTGCACCAGTTCAAGTTGCCAAGTTCCAAATACCACACAAAGGTAGACAAGAAGATGAGTGAAGAGAATCAATACAGTCTGACAAGTATAAGAGTGAAACAGAATGGGTAATGGTAGAAAGGAATATGAAAAATTACAGAGACTGAATACATCAGCGCTGGCCATTGACAACGATTTTGAGCCATGTCACTTATTGTCTCCAGCCATTGATTCCTAGAGTCAGTCCCGAGGGCCCCAACCCGGAAGTCTTCATCTCCCTCCCTACCTGACTCAATTCAACTGTCAAGGACTTCATGGATTGACGAGGCCATGTTTTTGTTTGGCCCCACCACTCACTCTTTTCCAACCTGCAACTTTATCAATCAGCTAGTAATTCCCGTCGGCGGGCGAGGCGATGGTTAGGCATGCGCACCACCTGACCTAGCCATCTCAGTCTATGTAACTTTATAGCCTCGTCGATTGATTTTCCCTCTTTGCCCAACACTCTACGCTTAACGTCAACATTACTTACCTTGTGAAACCACCTAACGTGAGACAGAGATCGCAGACATCTATGATCGAAAGCAGTCAACCTTTTCATGTCTTCAACTCGTATTGGCCATGTTTCAGAGCCATAGACAAGGATGGAGCGAACTGTTGAGCAGTACACACGTCCCTTGGTTGATAGCCGGATGTCACGCCCACGCTAGAGAGATGGTGTAAGTCAGAGAAAGCAGCTCGAGCTTTTCGGATCCGTGCTGAGATTTCGTCGCCAATCAGTCCGTTGGTGCTGATACAACTTCCCAAATAGGTGAAGTGGTCAACATGTTCTATCACTTCACTCCCTATCACTAAGCTAGGAGTTGACGTAGTCCAGTCCTGTAGCAGCATCTTACATTTTAAAGGGGCGAATCGAATGCCAAACATACGAAGACTGCTTGTCCTCTAGGTGTTCAGAAGACTGCATTTTGTCAGCATCCTCCCCTAACAGGACTATGTCATCTGCATATTCTAAGTCCATAAGACTATTCCCTGGTGACAAGTCGATTCCTAAGTCGTTACGTTCAGTTAAGGATACTTCCATTAACATATCTATGATGAAGTTAAACAGAAATGGGGAAAGTGGACATCCCTGTCGGACACCACCGGTTGTTACCAATTCAGATGACAATTCCCCATAAGCCCTTACACGACTACGTGAGTTTGAATAGAGTGCCTTGATTAGTGCAATGTACTTTCTTGGCACTCCCTTCACAGTCAAACATTGCCATAGTACCAGTCGTATTACTGGCTTAGTGAGGTGAAGGAGTGTGTTGGCGGCCGGAGATCAAACTTCGAACCACAAATGGGGTACCACCGACGCAATTCACGATATATGTTATGACCTATGTATTATTGAGTAATTTATTCTTATTATTAATCGTATAGTTTGCCCATTTCTACAATCAGAAAACAAAACAAAGAAACAAACCAGAACTACTTTGTTCAATGTGTATTTCTCTTAGAAAAAGGAAACAAAAGAGAAAAGGAAAAATAGACAAATAACACTTGACTAAGATTCAAGGTAAAATAGGAAAAAAAACCAAAAGAAACAGTTTCAATTTCACTTGTCAGGTTCATCATTTTCTTCTTGATCTTTTGCTGACGCTGCTGCTGCCGCGGCTGCTGCAGCATTTGCACGTAAAACATCACCAGGATTTGGGTATGGACGTTGTTGAAATAATGGTCCAGAAGCTGTAATGTCTACACCAGTTTTAGCTGATGGTGTGCCAGTTACTCCCTCCAAACCTGAACTCCATGTTCCACGTGGTACATCCCCGTAGGAGGCTGGATCCATTGGATCTAATGGTCCAAGAGTTGCTGCTCGACCTTAAAGGAATATAAAATGTATTGAAATAGGGATTGTGAACAAAAAAAACTGTAGTAACAATAAATCTACGCTATGAATAAAGTGAAGTCAAGATTTCATCATGAGCTGATATCGGTTGGAGAACCATTGAAAAACCACCAGGGAGTACTGGACAGCCAACTGTTTTATCCCAGCGCTTTGGAATCCTCAGCAGTACGCACCCACTACCAGGGGGTAGAAACCCAGATTTACCGGTTACAAGTACAGCTCGTTGACCATTAAGCCATTAGGAAATGATTCAATGGATAGTTCATGAATTCCAAGTTCTGCCAATTCATGCACGATATAGCTCGACCGGCACTAGCCACTGTTGTCGGCGGCGAGTATTTATCCTCACACCCAAATTCCTGTACCCTACTGGTTACGATTTCTCCCCCTGGAACCCAGGTAACTACCTACCTTAGTACGGACATTTCACTAGAGAGTACCAGACCTATCTTATACTTGTTCCACAATACACATTTCTGATATGATTTTAATTTACGTTTACTGGTTATTGTATGTTTAATTTAATGGATTTATAATTGTAGAACCTGAAGAAGAATTTATTGAAGGCGACAACCGTTCGCTCTAACTATTTTGTTCTAATAGTCAACTGTTGGTTTGCACCAACACACTTGAGAAGGTCAAATCAGTATAAGAATAGAATTTGAGCACTCTAATAGAGTATAATTGCATTATAGAATAGAACAGAGTGATAGAGTATAACTGAAGAATGACGTTTCGAGCACGAATTATGGTTCATAATCATATTACTAAATTCACATGACCTCTTAAATTCTTTTTGGCGAATTCATTTTCCTAGCTGTATAATCGCAAATATATATGAGTTATTTTGTATATATGGATGTGTCGGTGGCACAGCGGTTAGCATGCTCGCCGACCATGCGCATGGTCCGGGGTTCGATCACCGGCCGACACACTGATTCACCTCACTTATCCAGTAATAAGACTGGTAAAGAGGGAAGGTTGGGCATGAGGCAGGCTAGCAACCCCATCCTGTAAAAAATAAACACTGCTACAGAAACTCCAAGCCTCTAGCTTGAAGCCCTATGTTCCACTGGAAACGTAAAGGAAATAATAATGATAATAATAATAATAGTATGTATGTGTGCATTAGGCTTGTCAAACAAAATTACAACCAGTTATGGTTATTTTAACTAAACAGGTGAAAATTAGTCAGTTTTCAGTGGAGTTACGTAATGTGGAGTTGCGTATTACGATAGAGCTAAGAAAATGAATTCGCCGAAAAGAGACTTCGCCAAACTACGCGTTCTTAACTTCTCTCATATAGTTTGTTCGTTTGTTTATAATCCCATTTATTCTCTAATTTAATCTCGCATATATCCGATCAATCATCAATCAACGGGAGGGATTTGAAAGAGGTTACTTCATTCACTTCTCTTAACTAGGCAGCATTGTCTCAACTACAGGCCAGAGGAACGGACGAGGATGTCAAATAGAGCGAGAATTGGGAAGCCAAGCGAGAAACACATTCATCAACCTGAAACCAATCTGGAAATCTTCGTCACTCAGCCAGAATCAACAACAAAATCCAGTCGGATTTTCAATACAAACGTCAAGTCAGTCAGTTCTTCTATACGGATCAGAAACTTGGCGAGCGGTCACAAAGAATATTTCTAACAGGCTATTGCAGACATTTATCAACAACTGTCTTCGCTGGATCTATACTGAAGATCAGATAGCCTGGCCGGAAAGAAACACTAACAAGGAACCATGGAACAAACAAAACAAAACAAAAACCAATCGCCGACCAACAAATATGCAGGAGGAAGTGGAGATGGATGGAGATAGACACTCGCTCGCTGAGGGCTGGCCGCTGGGTGACATCGCGCGCGCGTCAGGCCATTCCTCGAGTGGAACCAGGCCGAAAGGGAAGCGGCGAGTGGGACGTCAGTGCAAGGGTGACATGGAGGAGATCGTGTGAAGAGGAGTTGAAACAATATGAACTAACATGGATGCAGGTGAAAAATACAGCAGAAGGAAGACAGAAGCAAGTGGAGACGTGCAGTTGAAGTCCTATGTTCCACTAGGAACCCAAAGGAACAATAATAATAATATATCCGAGATAGGTGTTGCCTCATTCCTATCACATGCATCTGATGTTGATGCTTCACTTATCTCACCTGGCAGCATCATTGCGACTACAGGCGACAGTACAGATGAAGATGTTAAAGGTAACCAGAATCGAAAAGGCAAGATATACCTTCATCACTCCGAAGTCAGTCTGGAAATCTTCTGCACTTCGCAGTATAAAGAACAAAATTCGGATTCTTAACACATATGTTAAGTCAGTCAGTCAGTCAGTTCTTATGTATGGGTCATAAACTTGCACTGAAGTTATATCCGGTGAGGGAATTCAATCTCATAGGTGTGAATACATAAAATAATAATAGTAGTATGAAATGCAATTAAAACTAAAATGTTTGTGATTATAATCGTAGTTAAATGTCAAGTGGCAAAGCAGATTAATGTCATTTATAGAATAATTCATAGGAGGGATAGAACTTGAAAAAGAGTGTGCAATTATAAGATTAGTAGACAAATCGAATAAAACAAAAACGTTACGTAATATTGTGTGAAATTTAATAGCATAGAATTTATCGTTGTAAAAAAGAATTGATTTAGAATGACAAGTGGAACAAGTGAAATAATACCGGGGACAGTTCAAAGTGAGAATTTTAATTGAACTTCATATGATTATTATTATTATTTTATGCATTCACACCTAAGATTCAATTCCCTCACCGGATATAACTTATTAAAAACCATGATAAATTCGTTGAAAAGAGTCTCTTCGCTGAATCACTTGTTTTGATTTTCTGAATGTTACAATGGGAATTTTCCATGAGCATAGAATTTAATGTTGTAAAAAAGAACTGATTTAGAATGGCAAGTGGAACAAGTGAAATAATACCGGGGACAATTCAGAGTGAGAATAGTAATAGTAACAATTGACGTAATAAAGGTATATCGGTCGTTTGACTAGAGTTTTGTCCAAGAGGCTGCAAGAACACTATCCTGCATGGTTACGAATAGGTGGAAGTGGAGCAATAAGAAGCGCGATCATTGAACATCGATAATGATCACCCTATCTTCTCTATAACCTCCGCCTTTAAAGTCATCTATAAGGCAAAGAGTAATTTACCCAAATCACCCACTACGTACCCGACTCATCTGTATTGTTGAAGGCATCTTTGGCTATCGAAACAGAAAAGCTAGATTTCTGTGTACAGAATAAGTTCGTTCAACCCCTCCAACTTTCATGGTCTGAATCCCTCTATGCTAAAGTATGATAGTCCCTAATCATATTTTGGCTCTATCAATTTTTCATTTTGTCTGTCCAATTTGTATGCTCTTCCTTTATTACGTCAATTGTTACTATTGCTACTCTCAGTTTGAACTGTCCCCGGTATTATTTCACTTGTTCCACTTGTCATTCTAAATCAATTCTGTTTTGCAACGTTAAATTCTATGTTATCAAATTTCACACAATATTACGTGACGTTTTATTTTATTCGATTTGCCCACTAATCCTATAATCGCACACCCTTTCCAAATTCCATTGTAACAATAGAAGAGAAGGGCCAGGCAACAGATCCTTTATTTAAGGAAATCAGTACGTATTTATACATGTTTCCTGTATATTATTATAGCTTATTCAAGTAGACACGCAGTCTTCTGATTGGTTGTTTCGGGTAACCTCGGAAAATGGAGCCATCTATCTGCGAATCATATTTGCCCACGTTAAGTCTGCTGTGATTGGTTGTTGAATCAGCCTTGTTCATATTTTCTCACGGCCAATATTAGTGACCTAGACATTGACGTAAATTAATGTCTACCGATTGGCTAGCAGCCTGCTCTCACCACACTATACAGACTATGAATTATCCTTTATATGATGTTAATTTTGTTTTGCCACTTGACATTCAACTATGATTATAATCACAAACATTTTAGTTTTAATTGCATTTCATACTACTATTATTATTTTATGCATTCACACCTATGAGATTGAATTCCCTCAGTGGATATAACTTCTTAAAAATAACCATATATATATATATATATATATATATATATATATATATATATATAATACGACTGCACAGCTTGATGATAAATTCGTTGTTGAAAAGAGTCTCTTCGCGCTGAATCACCACTTGTTTTGATTTTCTTTATTATTATATATTATTATTATTATTATATACATGCATGTTTATATACACAAAATATTCAAGATTGGTAGTTAATAACAATATTAGTGTGTTTTTTTAAATAATATCGATTTGTAAAGTATGATCACGATGGAATTACAATTCACTAAAAATACTTAAATTATAATAATAATAAAGATATAATAGCGAATATAATATCAACTAAAATTAGGAAATTTCCAAAAAAATTGAGAATCATTCAAACCTAGATGGCCAAGGTAAGGACAGTGCCTGAATTAACTTCTTTTAGACGCATAAATTAGGCTTGTTAATGTGGATCCCAACAGCTAGCCTCAGCGATATTTAGTAATCGAACTCTTTAGACGAAGTTAAGATTTGTTGGTATCCGGTAAATAACTCTAAAAGCCTGGTTAAGATCAATCTTGTGTTCTGTATCCACAAGATGATATAGAATAGCGCTATGTGAATAGATTTTGTTTGTCCTTTACTTGATCTAACCAATCAGGATGATGTTCAGGAATCCGACAAGAAACACGCCTAATTGTACGGCCTATGCAACTAACTGGCTCCACAGGAGCAGTTAAATTTGTAGATACACATGGATGAGGCGAAATTAGGCAGTTTGTCTTTTACTCCCAAACTCAGAAGAGGAGAGTGGTCTTAAAGATACAATGTAATTCAGCAGCAGGGAATGCTAGTTTTACCGCATTTTGTAATGCACTGTGTTAGTATCTTGCTAGTGTTGTCCCCAAGGAACTGCATCTGTAAGAATAAGGCCTTCCTGTTTTGGAACTGTTGGTAACTTCAGCTGCTTTGGTTTCAGATTTTTCATCTTCTTATCAATAAACTTTTCGGAATAATCATTCTCACTTAGCAACCGTTTAATATTATTATTCAGTTCTTCATCAAGACATTCGTCCGAGCAAATCGCTCTTGCTCTGTGAACCAGGCATTTTATCATATTGCGTTTGTATTTTAAAGGCACAAACACAGCTGAGAAAATGTGTATACTGACCCGTTGATGTAGGTTTTCTATGCATACACTTCCTCTTCTTATTGTGTCATCCTCTTTTCTGGTCATAAAGACGTCTAAAAATGGAATACTCGAGTCTTTTTCTTTCTCAATAAAAAGGTTATGAACGACTGCACTTACGCTTTCTATCCCTATCCTTATCCCTATTTCTTGACCGTTTGCCTCCATCTGACGCTTCTGTTGGACGTCGATCCCAATGACGTGGAGTAGTGCTGCGACTACGATCATCTGATTGATTACTTATCTGTGTAGAGAATACTGGAGATGGAGATGGTTGAGGTGGTCGATTCCATGGAGGCGGACATGGATACATTGAAGGCGGAGGAGGATACATTAACGGTAGCATTGGAGGCATTAGATGATGATGAAGAGGTGGTGGTGGTGGTGGTGGTGGTACAGGCGGTTCATTTCTAGAATTTTGTACAGCAGAATTATTCTCCACATTTGAATTAGTAGTATGCGAATAATTACTAGCCAGTGGAACTCCATCAGGTGATTCTTCATCTTCTTCACTCGCCTTTTCCTTTTCCTCCTCATCCGCATCCTCTGTCGCCTCCTCGTCCTGTTGTTCATCGTCTAGCTGATCATAGTCAACCATATTCGTTGAATCTGATTGTTTCCAGGTTGATGAAGCATCTTGTTCATCAGTTGGCGATTCATTGACATCATTCGAAGTGAATTTTTGATTGTTACTATTATTATGCGTAGATTCAAATGGTACATCTTGCCAACGTGAAGTTGTACGTCTACTACCAGAGGAATATTTTTTTCTATCTACATCAAGTGGTGATCTAGATCTTTCACGTCGACATCGTTTAACTTCTTCTTCTTCTTCTGATCCATCTGAATCATTTTCGTGTTCACTTCCACTATCTGATCGACTATTATTATCATCAGAACCACTAGATCGACTACGACGTGCTTCTTTACGTTCTGCAGCTAACACCGCAGCAGTTGCAGCACCGGCTGCAGCACGAGCAGCTTCAAGTTCACGTAGTGTATTCGCTCGGACAATATTACCCGGTTGACTAATCTTAGCTCTTGGATGTAATGGTGATAGCCAACAAACATCATCTGAATTTGTATTCCAGTAATAAAATCTGTTAGACATCAAGAAAAAAAAAGAAATTTTATTTGGTTCGTTTTAGCATATTCACACATTAGCAACGTGTATAAGCAATTAAGTTGTGGTGAGAGCAGGCTGCTAGCCAATCGGTAGACATTAATCTACGTCAATGTCTAGGTCACTAATATTGGCCGTGAGAAAATATGAACAAGGCTGATTCAACAAACAATCACAGCAGACTTAACGTGGGCAAATATGATTCGCAGATAGATGGCTCCATTTACCGAGGTTACCCGAAACAACCAATCAGAAGACTGCGTATGTCTACTTGAATAAGCTATCATAATGTACAGGTAATATATATAAATATGTGTTGATTTCCGTAATAAAACGATCTGTTGCTGGCCCTTGTCTTCTGTTGTTACAAAGTAAGTAAGTCTAAGGTAGTGGAGATATGACTTCAGCACTCGACATTCACCGCCCAATAGGTGTACTCAGTTCGAATCCCATTGTGTCAATAATTCAGTCTAAGCAACTGGATTGTATTGGACTGTGATCCTTTACACGACAAATGTTGTGCCTTACAGTCTGGTACATGAAAATTTTTTGCCGGCTACAGACTGCCGGAAGCTCTGTCTGTCTGTATGGATTCAACATAGAACTTGGCACCGAAGTGCACCAGTTCAAGTTGCCAAGTTCCAAATACCACACAAAGGTAGACAAGAAGACGAGTGAAGAGAATTAATAGAGTTTCACAAGTATAAGAGTGAAACAGAATGGGTAATGGTAGAAAGGAATATGAAAGATAACAGAGATTGAATACATGTGCGCTGGCCATTGACAACGATTTTGAGCCATGTCACCTATTGTCTCCAGCCATTGATTCCTAGAGTCAGTCCCGAGGGCCTCAACCCGGAAGTCTTCATCTCCCTCCCTACCTGACTCAGTTTAACTGTCAAGGATTTCATGGATTGATGAGGCCATGTTTTTGTTTGGCCACCACCACTTACTCTTTTCCAACCTGCACCTATATCAATCAGCCAGTAATTCCCGGGGCGAGGCGATGGTTAGGCATGCGCAGCACGTGATCTAGCCATTTCAATCTATGCCGGAAGCTCAATCGCGACTGACTGACTAGTTTCAACACACTACTTTCCACCGATGTGCAGTTCACCTGGTCACTCTCCTTCAATGTACCACACAAAGCAAGACAACAGAGAGATTCAAAAGACAGAAGTGTGAGTAAGGGAAAAAGAGTAGTAGTAATATTGGAAGAACAATAGAGTTTTATCTTTCTTTTTTATTACAGCTTGATTCTACTTCGTATTTTTGGTATAAGTATGGAATTTTTAGCATGTGATATCAGTAAACCAAATTTTGCACGCCGACCATAGATATCAGGTGTGCGTCGCGGCAGGGAATGGAACCTCGGAACATGTGCATGGTCGGCTAGAGTCCTAACCACTGTGCCACCGGCGACAATTTATCACAAAGAGTGAATGCATCTGCGCCAGCCATCATTCATTGCTTCTTAACATCTCGACGTCCCATACCAGCCAATCAGTTTACACCCGCATACGTGACTGGCTGTATGGCTGCCTTAAACTAGGTGCTATGGATTTGATTGACTGATGAAGCCATGTTGGTTCCGATTTGACCAGCACTAACTAGCTGTGTTCTCAATCTTATCGATCCTGTGTCAACTAACATTCTTCTTTGAGGAAGGCGTTGACTAGACATGCGTAAAACATGTCCTAACCATCTCAGTATTACACACTCTATTACACCTATCGCCTAACACGGGAGGCGGATAGAACGCCAACACCTATGATGATAGACAACTAACCAGGAGTTTCAAGTCTTCCACTTTCAGTGGCCATGTTTCATGGCCATAAAGGAGGGCTGAGTGAACTGTTTCTGAGCAGTAGACAGGTCCTTTGGCCGACAACCAGTCGGATTATCACGTCTACGCCAGAGATGGCGTAAGTTGACAAATGCTAAACCAGCCTTCCGTATCCGTGCTGCTATCTCGTCGGCAATCAACTCTCTGGGGTTGACTAATGCAAGTTCCCAAATAATTGAAGTAGTGGTCAACACACTCAGCCACCACTTACTTCACTCTCTATCTTCAAGCTGAGAATGGTCAATGCAGTCCAATCGTGCAGTTTCTCGTAAGCACTAACTTTAAACACAAGGAGGGACACTGTTTAACCTGGCGACCCCCATCATCAAACCAACGCTGGACACAAATAGACCACATAGCAATAAGCTATCGTTGGCGTGGGTCGGTAGGAGATTGTCGCTCCTTCTGGAACACGTGTGTAGATACCGATCACGCACTGGTCCGGGCTCGTGTGTGCTTACGACTGAACGGACGTAGGAAACAGCTGGCGGTAAAACCATCACGTCCCCAGCTCGATCAGGAAACTAAATCCCTATTTGAGGAAGAACTAGCTAAACGCATATCTGAGTTCGACAGCTGTGCTCACCCTGAAGAAGCCTGGAAGAATATTCAGTCAGCCATAGATACAGCTGTAAAAGCTGTGAATAAGGCAAATCCAAAGGTGAGTAAAAACCACTGGATTTCGACTGCCTCATCCGAACTGATAGATGCTAGAAGACTTATTCCGGCGAGCTCCGAATTCAATGAGGAGCGAAAGCTGCACAAAAGGAAACTTACTAAAAGTCTCCGCAAGGACCGTGAACAGTGGTGGGTGACAAAGGCGAAAGAGATGGAAAAAGCATCGGCGATAGGCAACTCTTTAGACTCATCAGGGAAACGGGTGGGAGAAGGCAATCATAAGTGAGACTATTTCTGAGAAAAATGGCTCCTTAATTAGCTCTCAGGATAGACGCCTTGAACGCTGGAAAGAACACTTTGAGGAACAATTTAACTTGCCTACAGCCACACTGAACCTCCCCGCCATCCAGGACACACCCGAATGGGATATAGACACTGGTCCGCCGTCTGTAAGTGAGGTCACAAAAGCTATCAGTAATTTGAAACGAGGCAAAGCGGCAGGACCCGACGGAATTATTCCGGAGGTGTTTAAATATGGGGGTGACATACTAGTTTGTAGATTAACTGAGGTACTAGGCAAAGTCTGGGAATCAGAGACAGTGCCATCAGACTGGGGTAAGTCACTTATTATACCGATATTCAAGAAGGGAAACAAGTCCTCGTGTGATAATCATAGGGGGATCAGCCTAACGAACATAGTCTCTAAAATCCTAGGCTCAGTAATCATGCATAGACTAAGCAGAACTCGGGAGGAACAGACAAGGGAAAATCAAGCAGGCTTTAGACCAGGTAGAGGGTGCATAGATCATATCTTCACTCTTCGACAGATTCTAGAACATAGACACACTTTTCGGCGTCCAACAATTGTCATATTTCTTGACTTGAAGGCGGCCTTCGACTCCGTGGATCGAAAGGTACTATGGCAATGTCTGACTGTGAAGGGAGTGCCAAGAAAGTACATTGCACTAATCAAGGCACTCTATTCAAACTCACGTAGTCGTGTAAGGGCTTATGGGGAATTGTCATCTGAATTGGTAACAACCAGTGGTGTCCGACAGGGATGTCCACTTTCCCCATTTCTGTTTAACTTCATCATAGATATGCTGATGGAAGTATCCTTAACTGAACGTAATGACTTAGGAATCGACTTGTTACCAGGGAATAGTCTTATGGACTTAGAATATGCAGATGACATAGTCCTGTTAGGGGAGGATGCTGACAAAATGCAGAGTCTTCTGAACACCTTGAGCAGCAATCTTCGTATGTTTGGCATGCGATTCGCCCCTACAAAATGTAAGATGCTGCTACAGGACTGGACTACGTCAACTCCTAACTTAGTGATAGGGAGTGAAGTGATAGAACATGTTGACCACTTCACCTATTTGGGAAGTTGTATTAGCACCAACGGACTGATTGGCGATGAAATCTCAGCACGGATCCGAAAAGCTCGAGCTGCTTTCGCTGACTTACACCATCTCTGGCGTAGGCGTGACATCCGGTTATCAACCAAGGGACGTGTGTACTGCTCATCAGTTCGCTCCGTCCTTCTCTATGGCTCTGAAACATGGCCAATACGCGTTGAAGACATGAAAAGGTTGACTGCTTTCGATCATAGATGTCTGCGATCTCTGTCTCACGTTAGGTGGTTTAATAAGGTAAGTAATGTTGACGTTAGGCGTAGAGTGTTGGGCAAAGAGGGAAAATCAATCGACGAGGCTATAAAGTTACATAGACTGAGATGGCTAGGTCACGTGGTGCGCATGCCTAACCACCGCCTCCCCCGACGGGCATTACTAGCTGATATAGGTGCAGGTTGGAAAAGAGCGAGTGGTGGCCAAACAAAAACATGGCCTCATCAATCCATGAAATCCTTGACAGTTAAACTGAGTCAGGTAGGGAGATGCAGACTTCCGGGTTGGGGCCCTCGGGACTCTAGGAATCAATGGCTGGAGACAATAGGTGACATGGCTCAAAATCGTTGTCAATGGCCAGCGCAGATGTATTCAGTCTCTGTAATCTTTCATATTCCTTTCTACCATTACCCATTCTGTTTCACTCTTATACTTGTGGAACTCTATTAATTCTCTTCACTCATCTTCTTGTTTACCTTTGTGTGGTATTTGGAAGGTGGCAACTCGAACTGGTGCACTTCGGTGCCAAGAAGTTCTATGTTGAATCCAGACAGACAGAATCGTGCAGCATCACCTTACACTGGACAAGCAAGAATCGCATACTAAACACTCGAAGATTGCTTCTCAAGGTGTTCAGAAGACTCTGCATTTTATCAGCGACTTCACCTAGAAGGATTATATCATGTGCATATTCTAAGTCAACGAGATTATTCTCTAGTGACAAGTCAATGCCTGAGTCGCTGAAGTTAGTAAGGGTTAAGTCCATTAGAGTACATCTAGTATGAAATTAAACAGAAAAGAGGACAGTGGATATCCCTGATGGACACCACTGCTGTCATCACAGGTGTCAGATGACTCTCACTTGGCTGCATGAGTTCGAGTGTCTTGATCAATACAATGCATTTTCTCGGCATTCCCTTCATGGCCAAATATTGCCACAGTAGCTCTTGGTTGATGGATGTCCTAGAAACTCTTGAAGTGTGAAAATATGATCAATACACCATCTCCCTGGTCTGAAGCCTTCCTGACTTTTTCGTGTCTGTTTCTCCCGAGAACTACTTAATCTAAGCACGATTATTGAGTCTGGAACTTCCACAGTTAACAAGTAACTGATTTCTGTTGATGACGGTTTGCAGGATAGGCATTTCGCCCTATCTGATACTCATCAGCTGGGTAAACTTGCATACCTAGTGAGTGATGTTCCCATTGAGACTCGAACCTAATACCTATGGCTTCAAACGCCAAAATGATATGCACTATGCTAATAGTCCATTAGAGTCATCGTCAACTAATGGAGATACATATACACCCAACTGACTTATCTAAAGGAGACAAATCGGACGACCTAGATTCCACAGCTAACCATAAGGTATCATCGAAGCCTATGGTATGTCAACAGAGGCCTAGGATAGCTATTCAATAAAATCAAACAAAGAGGAATTCAAAAGATAATAATTTCAATGGATGACTCACCTTCCAGTGACTGGATCACCAACTTCAATCCAATGACTTGGAAGTGGATAACGCCGTAACATTCTACTCTTAAGACGCATATTTACCATATCTGTGTTAAATTTTCGTCGTCCATAACGTTCATAACAATATGGAGAACAAATATGATACGGATTGGTTTGATTTGGGCAATCAGCACATTCATGAATTAAAATACCATTTTCAATAACAGGAACAGGACTGACTGTGTAGCATTTTTTAACAGCAGGAGGTTTATCGAATGACGCTGGTAATACAGGTTCAGTTTCTTCATCATAGTTTTCAGCGAAAATTTCCTCCACTATAATAATGATAAGTTTGGTTATCACAACTTATTTACCTTCCTGTTGTGGCTCAGCAGCAACGATACCGCGTTTCTTAAGTCGAGCAAGTAGAGCCGGTGGAAGAGGCATGCTAGTGAACAACTAATCCTAGGAAGTGAAGACGGACAGTTAAAAAGTCGTAAATAATTTTCAAATTGAATTATTTCTAAGAAACTACCAATAAGAAATAAAAAATAGTGGTTACAGGATTTCATCATGAGCTGATATCGGTTGGAGAACCATTGAAAAACCACCAGGGACTACTGGACAGCTAACTGTTTCATCCCAGCGCTTTGGACTCTTCAGTGGTACACATCCACTACCAGGGGGGAAATCCAAGACCTACCGATTACAAGGCCATTAAGCCACTGGGAAGCGATTCAATGGATAGTGCATGAATTCCAAGTTCTGCCAATTCATGCACGACATAACGCGACTGGCCCCAACCATTCGTCCTCACACCCCAACTGCTGTACCCCATTGGTCACAACTTCTCCCACTAGAATCCTCGTAACTACCTACCTGACTTGTGTATCTTCACATTACCGTGAGCTGTCAGCTCAGGATGTAAGAAGCTCATCTGAGCAGAGTTGTTGGAAAACAAACATAAAAAATGGGACTTCGGAATAGCTGTTCCAGAGAAGATAATAAAAAGTATATCGAAACAGACTAGTATGTACGTATATTATTTGGGCATGGTAGGGGTACAAAGCTCGACTTTGTTCGAGTGAGTGTAATCATTTTCGAGGAAGAAACTTTGCGGAGCAAACCATCTGGCCAACATCTACACTAAATTTGCCCAACAGAACAGACATTCCTGTTGTAACCACATAAAAATTAGCTTGGTAAATTACGTATGATAGTGGGGTCTGTAGTCATAGAAAAATTAGGTGAAACTGCTGAAAAACAAGGACGCAGAGAACTAAACCTGTTAGATCTTCATCCTTCGAAAAGATCTGGAGCACAGTATAACTTTCCAGAGTCAGGTGTCTTGAGTGGAAACGTTGCTAAGTTGCGCAGCTTAGTATGTTTTGCGTGTGTTACGAATCTATTAAATGCGAAAATTATGGTAGAGAGCTAGTCAGCACGAATTCATAATTTATCAATAGGAAATCGAGCGGACTACCGTTGTGATTCTACTTATTTGGAAAGCAGTTGACTGAACCTCAGCATATGTACGAAACACCTTCCTGGTACTTGTCAATTTGTTACGTTTACGATAACAACTAGGCATATGGATATCTATCAGACAAGATGTCTGAGGTGCGGAAGATTGATTTATACTACTTTAGAGCGGTACGATACGGCCACTTAATCTGGAACGGTACCAAAAATGGAAATGAATTATCAAAGTAGAACCTTGAACCATAGAAAATCAGCTTAGGTTGCCGCACCATGTAAAAGCAATTAGAAAGATAAACAGAAGTACAATGAAACTTAAATAGAAGCAAATGTACGAGAATGTACGAAGAGCATCAGGAGAATTTCCAAGATATTGATGATTACGTGGAGTGAATTCGTATGCAATTCTGAGAACAATTTTGAATGATATTGCCAAGTTCCACCCATCAATGGTTTTTAGAATCCCGAGGACCCCAAACAAACAATCTGCACCTCTCAATATGGCTCAAAGCAACAGTCAAAGACTTGATAGATTTGTGATCACTCCTAACTTCTGTCTACCCAATCCCAAGTTAGCTCACACAGCTCAACGACGAGGGAGATGGTTTGTTATGTGTAACACGTGTCCTAGCCATCGCAAACGATGTGGTTTCACAGCCTGGTCGGTCGAATTACGCTCCCTACCTAACGCTGTGCCAAGCCTCAGTATTACTGACTGTATTTTACAATCTAACACAAGATAGAGCGCAGACATCTGTGGCCGGAAATAGCCACGTCCCAGATGTAAAAAGACGTAGGAAACAGCTGGCGGTAAAACCATCACGTCCCCAGCTCGATCAGGAAACTAAATCCGTATTTCAGGAAGAACTAGCTAAACACATATCTGTGTTCGACAGCTGTGCTCACCCTGAAGAAGCTTGGAAAAATATCCAGGCAGCCATAGATACAGCTGTAAAAGCTGTGAATAAGGTAAACCCAAAGGTGAGTAAAAACCACTGGATCTCCACCGCCTCATCCGAACTGATAGATGCTAGAAGACTTATTCCGGCGAGCTCCGAATTCAATGAGGAGCGAAAGCTGCACAAGAGGAAACTTACGAAAAGTCTCCGCAAGGACCGTGAACAGTGGTGGGCGACAAAAGCCAAAGAGATGGAGAAAGCTTCGAGGATAGGCAACACCAGGCAACTCTTTGGACTCATCAGGGAAACGGGTGGGAGAAGACAAATCATCAGTGAGACAATCTCGGAAAAAAATGGCACTATAATTAGCTCCAGGATAGACGACTGGATCGTTGGAAAGAGCATTATGAGGAGCAGTTTAATTTGCCCACAGCCACGCTCAACCTTCCGAGCATCCAACACCTCCCTGAATGGGATATAAACACAGGTCCTCCGTCACTAACTGAGGTTACTAAAGCTGTCACCAATCTGAAACTAGGCAAAGCAGCGGGACCTGATGGAATGACTCCAGAGGTATTTAAGTACGGTGGAGACAGCTTACTGTCCGGATTAACTGAGGTACTAGGCAGCGTCTGGGAATCAGAAGAAGTCCCATCGGGTTGGTGTAAGTCACTGATTATCCCCATATACAAGAAGGGAGACAAGTCTTCCTGTGATAATCACAGAGGGATTAGCTTGACTAATATAGTATCTAAAGTCTTAGGCTCAATAATCATGCGTAGACTGAGTGGTGCTCGGGAAGCACAAACACGAGAGAGCCAGGCAGGCTTTAGACCAGGAAGAGGGTGTATTGATCATATCTTCACCCTCCGACAGATTCTAGAACATAGGCATTCCTACCGGCGTCCAACAGTCATTATATTTCTTGACCTAAAGGCAGCATTCGACTCTGTCGATCGGGAAGTTCTCTGGAGATGCTTGGCTGTAAAATATATTGCACTGATTAAGGCACTCTACTCGTACTCATACAGCCAGGTGAGGGCTTACGGCGAGCTGTCATCTGAACTGATGACGACCAGTGGTGTCCGTCAAGGATGCCCATTATCTCCTTTTCTATTCAACTTCATCATAGATGTGTTAATGGACTTAACCCTAGGTGACTTCAGCGACTCAGGGATTGACTTGCTACCGGGGAATAATCTCGTTGACTTGGAATATGCAGACGATATAGTCCTTCTAGGCGAAGACGCTGACGAAATGCAGAGTCTTCTAAACACCTTGAGCCGCAATCTACGAATGTTTGGCATGCGATTCGCTCCCCCCAAATGCAAGATGATGTTACAGGACTGGACTACATCGACGCCTAGTTTAAAAATAGGAAGTGAAGTGGTAGAGCACGTTGACCGCTTCACTTATTTGGGAAGTACCATCAGCCCCAACGGGCTGATCTCTGACGAAATCTCAGCACGAATACAAGGGGCTCGTTTCGCATTTGTTAGTTTACGCCGACTCTGGCGTAGACGAGATGTTCGACTATCGACCAAAGGGCGGGTGTACTGCTCATCAGTCCGCTCCGTCCTCCTTTATGGTTGTGAGACCTGGCCACTGAGAGTGGAAGACATGAAAAGACTAGCTGTCTTTGATCATAGGTGCCTGCGTTCTATTTCCCGTGTAAAGTGGCATAATAAGGTGAGCAACATGGAGGTTAGGCGTAGAGTTCTAGGTAAACAGGGGAAATCAATCGACGAAGTCGTGAAGCTACAAAGACTGAGATGGTTAGGACATGTGTTACGTATGCCAAGTCATCGCCTCCCTCGACGAGCAATGTTAGCGGATATAGGGTCAGGCTGGAAAAAAGCTAGCGGCGGTCAAACAAAAACTTGGCATCAGTCAATGAAATCCACAACAGTTGGTCTAAGCCACGTAGAAAGGTGTAGACTTCCAGGCTGGGGTCCTCGGGACGGTAAAAATCTATGGTTGGAAACAATTGGTGACATGGCTCAAAATCGTTCTCAGTGGCGCAGATGCATCCACTCCCTGTGACTTATGATCTTCAATGAAACTGTTTTGTATTTCTTTATTACTCCTTTGTCTCACACCTCTGCTCACTGTTTCTATTATGCTTTTCTTGTACTTTCTTCTCTTGCTTCGCGTGCTACACGGAATGTGGCGACTTGAACTTCCGCACATTTGTGCAAAGTTCTATGTCGAAAACAGACAGACAGACAGATGCAAAAACAACGGATCAAACTGTGCTGTAGCAGACAATTTCATTGATGGATAATTGGGCATCACCTAATAGTCAGTCCTGAGTAGTCTATGACTAAGTTAAAAGGTTCAAAAGTAATCAGACATACACTGAACTAAACCATGAAACCTTTGACTGTCGGTCTCAACAATGTACGAATATCCAATTCAATCTGATAGGTCTATTCAGTAGTTAAGAGTTAGCAGTCTAGGCAGATGAAGAAAGTTTACAATAAAAAGGAAACGTTAAGTCTGTATCATTACTTAAATTGTTAAGAATTACTCAAAATTTGATGTGCACATTGTACACAACTCCACAGATTAAACTAACAATCCCGTACTTAAACGCAGATTTTTGCAAGCCAAACAAAGATGCATCACAAATGAATAAGAATTAGGAGTGGACAACTTCCAACTGAAAACAGAATTCGTTCCCTGTAATCTTCGATCAAATGAAAATTAACATTTTTAGTGTACATGTGAAAAACGGAAGTCTCTCTCGCTTAAGCGACCATGTGCATTAACATACCAATGGTAATATGTATTGATCATATGGTCATCATTTTCTGCGTTGCATATTCAACACACAGAAATCACTCAATCAAGTAACCATTAATTAACAAACAAAACTAAAGCAACTTTTCGCATCATTCCCAGTGGAATAAAACTTCTAGCATGATTTTGCATTTATAAAGGGGAAAAAATAATTTTAGGAAGTTTCTGATCAGTTATGGATGGATAACAAATTCTTGAAACTATCACAGATTTTTACCAGATTTTGCCAATCATCGACTACTGTATACGTACTTAAGACAGGAAATGCCAACCTCTAAGTAACCACAGGACCAAACTGAGAACGCCTGATAAGTCCATGATACCGAAGAAACGCTACTCACCCTGAGTATGCCATTCGGAGATTCCTATGGATAATTTAGAGGCGGTCTCATGTAAAGCCTTGAGGGAATTTTCGGACCCAACAACCCAATTGGGAAATATTGGCGAAGAATGGTTAAAAAAAACTTTGAAATGTGCAAAAATTCAGGCAAGTAGTAAGTGGTGAAGCAGTCGACAAATTCTCGTTAATAATGATCAGAACAATAAAATATTGTTTAAATAATGAGAAAATATTGGTTGAGTCAAGGAAAACTACTGGTTCAATAACGGTAAAATATTGGCTTCATTTTGGTCATATTTGGAAAGGTTGCCATTATTTCCTCGCTATTCACCCATTTTCCATCATTTTTGCCTGATTGGAGAGGAATGAGTCAAAAAACTCTAAAAGATCCCAAGCTTACAACGAGCCTAAACTTATTCTACCTTACTCTTCGATAATGCCTTTTTATGGGAAATGACGATTATATCTACCCACTATGCTCTGAAATAAAGCCGATCGTGCTTAAAAAGATAGCTGGGTGCTCCGGTTTCCAATATCGTTTTCACGAGCTAGTATAAAACTATTTGATTTCTTTGTTTTGATAAATCACACAATGTTGTACAGTTATATTAACTGTTATCAGTTTTACTCTACCACAGTGCCCAAGTTTTATACTCATGTTGATTTCTTTGTGCTCGCCTCTTGATTGTGACGTATAGGTTTCTGATCTTCGGTAAACTTCTGCGTAGCTCTTCCCGCCACTCGACTGTCGTAGCTATGGTCGACTCCAAAAGGAGTAATGCTGGGATTAATTATATGTGGTTTGTAGTATGAGGTGTGTTAAGACTGTTACTACTGTGGAGTTGATCCTTTCACCAGTTAATCAACTGGTATCTTCGTCAAAAGAAAAGAGATAATAATAGATATAGTTAGCGAAGTTATTCAGACTAACAGACAGAAAAAGAAATAAAGAAAACGTTGAAACAGTCAGCTGAATAAACTTGAAGTTGATATACATATATGTGTAGTTAAAATTGTCAGAAGAAACATCTTGTCTTTTCGTTCTGAAGTAATGCTAGTCCGTGCCTAATATGTCCTGTGAGGGCTAGAATAACGCTGATAAGCAAACCCAGTAGGTTCTCATCTACTCCTGAACATGCCTAGAAAAAATGAACACGGTGCTGAATTAGTGCCAGTCGTGCTGAAAACCAGCAATGAGTTCTAGTTTTTGCCATTAAAGAATCCATTTCAGAACAGATTTAGAATTTACTCACTATAGAATGTCAGAATTATTTCAGAATTAGTGAGATTTAATTCAGTATTATAGTAAGTTTGGGTAGTTGCCTGCGAATGGCCAAGACTTTCAAATATATGTGGCTATGAATGAAGTGAAATTTAGACACACTTATTTCAGTACATTCCAATTTCCTAGGAATCTTCCTTATGTTTCGAGTCCATCATGGCATATAAACTAACCTTACAGTAACGCAAAATTCCGCATATTCCGCTTCTTTGGAATATGTACTTCAGACTTCCAATATCCAATATCCAATATCGTTTTTACGAGCTAGTATAAACCAATTTGATTTCTTTGTGCTCGCTTCTTGATTGTGAGGTATAGGTTCTTGATCTTCGGTAAACTTCTGCGTAGCTTGTCCCGCCACTCGACTGTCGTAGCTTTGGTTGACTCCAAAGGGAGTAGTGCTGGATTAATTATATGTGGTTTGTAGTATGAGGTATGTTAAGACTGTTACTACTGTGATTGGAGTTGATCCTTTCGCCAGTTAGTCCTTCGGCATTGTCGACAAGAGAAAAGAGGGCAAATTCAGATTCAGATTTTTGTTGGTTATAGGGAGCTTAAAGTATCGAATTGCTTTTCTCCAGCAGTAAAATACTCCTTTCTACTGCCTTTATGAACCGGCCGACTACAGAAGCTAACAAAACTCCTGGGAATTTGTTCGAAGTCCCTCCCTAGCTTTCAGACTGTCTCACTTTGTCTTTTGAGATATTCATACACGATGAAAGGTCTGTGAGTGTGTGAAATGATAACAGTGGTATTCACTAAATATCTTGGGAACTGACACATGCGTGGAGTGTACATAGCTGCGCAATTATCTATATTGTCTGAAAGTATCCATTCTTTGGATAATTTTGACACAGTGTTGAGATCTTTCTCAAAATAAAGAGCTGCCAGGTCACTGACTGAGCTTCAGTGAAGCACACCCGGTCCAGCTGGCTAGTTTGTGTCGAATTTACTTATGAACTGAAACAATGTTCTGCTCGATGTCGATGCAACTTATCCCAGTGTCTTGTGGCTCGGTCTGGGCTGATATTGTGGCCGGCGTGAAGGCTCTATAGAAATGGTCCGTAACCGTTTCGGCCTGTGCCTGATTCTCCTCAGTTATTTCTGTGTCAGTAATCAGGCCTTTGACTGTCTGTTCATATTCGGAGGTCGTTTCATGCGTAGTAACAATCCTTTTTGAGCTAGATCCATTCGAAATCATTACACTATTGACGAATTCCTGCAACAGCTTTGTTTCTGGCTGCAATTTAGACCTTCTTGTCCCCTAAAGTACCAGGAGTTATAAACATGTTACAGCACTTGCGTTTACCTTAACTAAGGATTTTGGGTTACCCATCTATCATTACTTACACCCACGAATATTTAAGATTCCTAAGACCTGCTGATTTGCGAATTTCCACTAAACTCGAGAAAAAGGACCATCCCGGATACCAGCCCGCTTTAAGACATATTCCAGTACATCGAATGACTCTTCCTGAGATCATGAGCATATCGGGTTATAGTTGTGGTGGTTTCTATATAACACTACACCAGCCTCACTAAACGTAATGACCCTAACTATCACTTAATCAGTATGCTAGCGGAATTGTGCGCATCTATCAACTTTGATGGTGACCTTGACAAAGGGTTAACATTTACGAGAACCTGTTCTTACTGCTTGTAAAATAATCGAACAATTTGAACTTTTGAAAATTTGCTGGTTTGTGATACTTTCACTTGATTTGGTTTTACATTCATATTCTTGCCGAACAATATTACAATGGTAAGTTCCCTGTTTTAATTATTACCCATGTAACGAGAAAAATCGACGCTATATTGTACTACATGCTGAAAATTCCATATATGCACCAGAAGTACTGTTAGAATGAAGCTACTGTTAATATAAACTAGTCCATGAATCTTACAGTTTACTCGTGAGGTGATAAATATTTGTGCTACTCTAGCTCAAATTCATTGAAGTGACTGCATTCATCTCCCACATTTATATTCCGGTCCTCTGATGAGGCTGCAGAAAATATAGCATCTATAACTGAACTTCACACTTTTGGTTCAGGGCAAGTCTAGGGAATAGTGGTGAGGATCATAGCCCATTCGCCTTCCAATATGCTGGACTTCTGCCGGTGAAATATAAGATCCTACCAGCACATTTTCGAAGGGCCGACGCTTTCATTCGACTACCGATGTGTTGAAATCAACGACTATGAGGCACTGTCTATAAGTCTAGTCCCTCTATGCGAGTCTACTCCTGCGTGCTCTCTAAATGTTAATATATTGCAATGAGATCAGTGTCTTGTCATTCACACTGCAGTCCGCGACGTAGAAATGAACATCCTCCACTTTCCTTGCTTCTGCGATAGGAAGAACTGATATCTTAATGTAGACGATTACTCAGCCACCTATGTGATGTCATCGATCTGGCCCACGCACAATGAGGTTTCATAGATTAACCTCACTGTTGCTGATTTCAGGTGTTACCTATGATCACCTAATGGCTATAGCTCCAATGTCCGCCAAATAAGCCCGGCTACTCAACTTCTTCCATTTGTTGAGATAGACGTCAGCAGATGTACACCAGACTTTTCGTTCGGTCTTTAATGTTTCCCTTAATGTTAAAGGTTTTTTCACCATCATAGTGTCAGTCACTTAACCCCGATTAAGCGGACACATATTTAATACAGCTTTCTTGGCATAAGCCTCCATGAAAGTAGATTCCTAGTCCAGTAAGAGTATGCGTATAACTAGGAGTTGCGCCTGTTTCAAGTTCCAGGCTTTCTGCCAGCTTGAAAATGCGTACCGCCTTACCTGGTGTTGAACCATCCCGTTAGGCAAATTCTGTTCACTGTTTGGGTAATCATGCCACCTCCTGATCCTGACGATGGTATCCAGAAGGATTGGTTTTCTGATTTGTGCAGTAACCTGTTGGACGTCTTCAGGAATTCTGGTTTCAGTAATAATAATAATAATAATTTATTTTCATATAAACATAAATTTACATGAAAATGCATGCCATTTTTACAGGCACGATCAAGTATGATATAATGTCAAATCTTAAATTGTCTACAAGTTAATAATGTTTCAACAGTTAAATATTTGATATATATATAATTACACTCATTGTCTGAACTAGGCCGTATAGTTATTGAATTGTACAGTTGTCCTCCAGGTTGAGCGGGAAAATCGACTTCGTTTCGTTTTCATCCCGTGGTTGTAGGCATACGATAACCAACCAATATTGAGGTAAGTACAACGTTTACAAGGGATTGGAAGCTGTTTTAGAAAAGTTAAAGTGCTAAGGTGAAACATTAAAGTGTAATAGATTAAGTGAGTGAAATATATCATTAATAAACACATTTATATAGAAAACAGAATGGGGAAGTAATTAATCCTTAGGCCGACAACGTTCATTTGCAATGTATAATAAAACCAATATATTTTGCACTATCATGATGTCCACTTTTGGCTTTAATACAATTATTTTCAAGCCAGTTGTTTTTATTTCATGTCTTTTTTTCTATTTGGTGCACAACCGTACCCTCCAGAGAATAGGAATAGAATAAGTCGAATCAAATTCATAAAGAGCTATAAAATGTTAGGTTTAATGGAATATAATGAGGATCAAGTAAAGGCGTTATTAGAAAATAAGTGAGACAAGACATTGTGAAGTGGTATTTAAAGATCTGACAATGGATAGCAAGTTAATTTATAAGATGCCCCATAAATCTGTGCAGATCCCACGTGGTCGCATCTCAACAATAGGCTGAGCGAATGGTATATATTTAAAGGTAGAAGCATTATCTGTCAAGGCGTTCACTATTATCTTTTTCAAGATAAAGATCTAAGCCCTCATAAAAATCAGAAATATCTCGAGCCTTCAAATTGCGTATTGCTGTTCCTGCAGAATGGGGCGATTCACCTTAGTGACCACCACCATATCTACTGATCAGCTAGCGCCACCCTCCCTCCTTTTTTGATGTTAGGCTCTGAGACTATGATTATTATGGCTACCGCAAATATATTGCTTGGTACCAGACATGTTCGTACCCCATATTCCATCTCCCTAGCTTTCTTAATGAGTGCTTCCAATAGGTCTCCACGTACATCTTTACGAACATATTATATATGTGTGCATGCATCCTGATGAACAGATTACTTTATAAGAAGTTAAAACCTTAAAGAGTGAAACGAATAGGTATTGTGAATAGTGGAGCAAGATTTAGCAGAATACTATAGTTAAGGTTCAATTTAGGTAGTATGGACTGAAGGTAAGGTCGGTTGGCAGGACTTAGTGTACTAAATTTTCATGACAGTCTTATATATAGTAAACATCTGACATTGCAAAGTAACGTGTCTAGACATATTATAAAAAGATATTAACACAGAACCAACGAAATTTTGGCATTTTTTAACAATACTGCAGTGTGTGTATACTGAAGAATGGTGGTTAGTCTACAGGGAGCCGTAGAGTAAATCAAACCATATATGATAAGAGTATAATCAATAATATAGTTCGTATATCAAATATTACACTAGGTTCAATAATTGAGTGTTATAAGGGAAACAAGCGTGGTAAAGCAAGAGAACATTTGATGCATAAATATTTTAAGTATTTTAATATCCATCTAATTTAAGAATTGAACATGCATGATTAATAAGTATTATTATATTAGTATATACATATGTAAAACGTTAAAAGGTGTGGATGCTATTACAATTATTTCCAGTGTTACTTTCACCAACACAACTTAGTGAAAATTATAGAGAATAGAAATCAGTAAATTAGTTAACGTTCGCTGCGTGAGTATTAGAGTCGAGATATACGTATGTGACTATACTGAAGACTGGACTGGCCTTCAATTTCCGTTCTACCAACAGTTGTGGTCTTTTAGACGAGCTAGGGTGGACATGTTAAAGTGTCTTTCTAGGCTCCGTTTGAACCCATCAGGGTTTTCACAACATCTTATTTCAGGTGGTAGTTGGTTCCAAAGAGTGCAATATTTTATGGTGAGAAAGTTTGCCCTAATGGACTTTCTGTGGGTAAAGACATTAACGAGTACCCTTTGAGCCCCGAAGTAAAAATCATCTATACCCAATGATTTTCTGACCAGTTATCACCTGTCAAGTGTTCATCGTTGGCATACATTTGGTTATAGTTGGGAAATTTACCGAAGGGTGGCTGCGGTA